CTCTCTCTCTCTCTCGGGGGAGACAGTGTTGTTGTTTATTGTTTTAAGCCCCAGTTTGGTCCCACCACTCTCAGGAGAGAAGAGAAGAGCGAGCACAAGTCTGTTATGGCCCGCTGACAGCGACTGCCTGGGACGGCCCACTCCAGGGAGCATCTGATGGGATTATAACGCTCTTTCCAGCTCGCTTTTTCCCACTAACTCTGCTCGATCCGCTGGTGGTGCTGTGTCACAGACCCGTGTGTTCACATGGACAGCTTTGTGTCAAGGTTGCTGGACCCGGTTTTAGCAGACAGAGAACACCTGGGGCCCGCTGTGGAGGAATTCAGTTCTGTCAGTTTGCAGCTGGTTTGGGAGAATTCGAGCTTGTTGTTTCCTATTTAGGAGTACGGAGAGCGGGAGAAAAAAACACACACACTCACACAAGAGGAGCGTTTGTGTTGGCGCGTCTGTGGCGAGCTGAATGGAGGACGAGTGAGGAATTAGTCCCAGATGAGCACTGACAGCTGACACTGTCCTCAGCTTCACTGGGTTGGATTCGGCCCCATACTTTGGCTGTCAGTGAGACGAGATGCTAACTCACTCTACCATAGGTCTTTAACAGCCAAGACTCTTTGCCTTTTTAGGCTGTTCACACCCACACACACACACACACACACACACACACACACACACACACACAAACTCCTGAGCTGAACTTCTCTGATTCCTCCTTTTCCACAACTCAGATGGACATCCCCTCACTGCCAGGACCAGACACTGAACCGCACATTGAACTTCTGTGGTTTGTTGATTCTGGAAGTGAATCGCTTCAGGTTTGATCAGAGGAACTCAGGAGGAGACGCAGCAGGCCTGACCTGCTGCTGCCTTCACCTCCATCCCTGCTCCCTCCAGGTGCAGCTGATGAGACTCTTGGCGTTGTGCTGCTTTGCATCTTGATGTTGTTTTGCATTTGTCCTTCTTGGACCTGCGTTTTCCTGCCCCGTCCCGTCAGAGGAACCTGTCCACTGCTGGCATAGCTCGTGGCCGCAGAAGGCATCAAGGAATTTGGACAGCTCCTCTCTCTGATTTGCGACAGCATGGGGGTCACACCACAGAAGTTCATGCTCTTCATCCTTCACCACCCAAAGTTCTGATTTTGATGATTATCTGAACTTTTTTTTTTTAAACCTGCCAGCAAAATGATGAACAAAGACTCTCGCTTTTCGAGGAAGATGCACGGCAACTTCTCCACGCGTAGGCACTCGTGCATCGGGTATGTATGCATCTGCTCATCTCTGCTGTTGCTGATGGACAGCGAGGGCGACATCATACATGTGTTTGCCGATGTTCAGGAAGTACTGGAGAGCTGATTTCACTTGTTTCTGTGTCTGGCCTGTACTGTGTGCTTGTGTCGTCTGGAGGCCTGTGTGTGGGGTGTGATGAGCGGACAGGGACTCACCGCCTCTCTGGAGGACGTGGTGTCATGTTGTTGTTTATCATGCGTTGGGCTTCGTAGTTGTGACATTTCAAATTCCAGCTTAGATTACTTGAAACATAAACGTACGTAGTGGCGAGTCTGCACCTGTTAAACTCTGGATTAACTTTAACACCCGTCTAATTCCCAAAACAAATAACACCAGTGGTTGTGTGTGCGTTGTGCTGAAGCCGGTGGAGTGCTGTGGCTGGCGGCACAGGCCTCGGATGGCGTAGTGGATCAATGTCTTTGTCCACTCATGTCCCTCCTCGGGGTCCGTGGACTCATGCCAGCCTGTGTAGTCCACGTTAGGTGTGAGCGTCATGTGGTGCAGGACTTTTTGTGTTTCAAAGGAGCGCTGAAGAAATACTAGCGTGCTCTGGAAAAGCTGTCCATGAGATTTATGTCTGTTTTCTATGATGTCCTCAAACAGAGAGGAATAAAAGAAAAGCCGCTCACTTCCAGGATGTATATCATGCTAACTTGCTGATGGGACTAGTTGACTTAATTGTCGTTGTAACAAGATACGACTGTGTAATCACCAGGCCGGAGTCGCACAAAACATAAAACCTACTACAGCTGTCATGAGATCCCTGCAGGACATGTTGTTATGTAAGGTTACAGGCCCTAAAAAAAGAGACTCAATACATTAAACACAAGCAGGACACACAGGAACCAGGAGGCTTGTATGGCTAAGCATGGGCAACAACGCCTCACAAGTCACAGAGAATAACCTTCTTCTGTCTGGCACTGAAAGGAGGGGAGAAAAAAAAAAGCTTCAGAGCTGTTGTGAAAATGTGCAGTGTGGCAAACTTTTCTGAACTCTGGGCATAAGGCATGTGCCTCGCGAGTGTCATCCGAACTCCTCCAGCCGTGAGCCTGTTTGGATCATATGAGGAGATCAAAGCAGCAGATTTTAGACCACAGCCAGAAATACAGAAGTGCAGAAGGGAACAGAACAAGCCTCTATTCTTTTATTACCTGATTTGTTCATTGAGCTTCCTGGCTGGAAAAAAAAAAGCACACGGTTCTGACGTGGAGCCGCTGTTGGGAGCTTCACATCAAAGTAAAGTTCAGATTCTGTTTTTCATTTTCAGCACTAGGAAGAAGAAATATTGCTTTATTTATTGCCAGATGATGGAGAAGAGACCCATAATGAACTGCTGTGGCCGCCGTGGTGCTTAGATCAGTTCAGATAGTTGGTGCATGTTTTTAGCTGCTTTCTCGGCCCTCATGCAGCACACGCGCACACACCGGCACAAAGCTGCCTCTGTCCTCCGATTGTGTCCATCACAATAGCGACAGCTCTTATCCTCACTTGTACTAACAGTACCAGGGCCCTATTCATCCTGTCCTACCCCCTCCACTCATGGTAACCTTCTCCACAATGCACAGCGCTTTTTTTCATGCGGTCGCTTCAACAACACAGTGCATTAAGTCGAACGTGGCCCGAGATGAGAGCTCTCAGACGGCATCACGAGAAGATAGCTGCAGTGACGGTTTGAGAAGACGGCATCTATCTGAAGGAGACGGTGGTGGGACGAGACGCAGCGAGGTGAAGCAAGAGAGACAGACGCGATTAGGGGTTGGCTGGGAAAAAGAGATAATCGAGACAAATGAGGGGGAAAGGCCCAGATGAGAGGGTGGTGAAGAAGTGATAGGGGGCACTGGGGCTGAGATAGTGCTGCTCTCAGCGCAGAGATAAGGAGCAGAGGGCTGGACTGGAGGACCAGGGACTGTCGCTGGGTGGAAACATGTTCAAGAGGTGTTTTGTGTACGAAAACACAAGAGAAGGAGGAAAAATGTTGTGTCAAGTGAGGCCACGCAACCAAAAGGGCAACAGTGTCAATGTCAGAGGTCCAGATATAGCTGCCCCCCCCCCCCAAACACACAGCCGGATCAGTCAATAGGGCCTGTGTGAGGCTGCGGCAGGCCGCCTGCTGTGTGCGTCACTGCTGTACTCCATATTTTCAGCATGACTGATTTCCCCAATCGCCTCCAGAGCCTCATCGATTCCTGAGTGGCAGCCTGGGACGGCACTAACACTGCCCAAACTCAGAACCAGCGGCTCTACTGTAATTTCCTCTTCACAGCGTGACAGCATGTTAAAGGCGTCTTTGCTTTCGGCTAAAACAGAGACCGTAGCGGCAGAATTAGAGAGACTGTACATGCAGAGGAAATGAAGGTTTTAAATGTTTGTTTTCCAGCAGCTCTGCATCTGAAGCAGACGGATGAACTCCAGCCATTTGACTCTGGTTGGGACACGGTTTCCAAAAAGGCATTTTGCATAAATAAAAGTTTCATGTGTGATCAGGAACAATTCGGGCCAAGTGCTGTCTGATAACCGATGTATGTAGAAAAGATTAGTTTGTTTCGTGTGCTGTGGTCGTCCCGGTGAAGCAGGAGGAGCGTATTCTGACCACTAGAGGGAGAAACGGACTCAGTTATGCTCAGCTACCAGAGTTCAGTGACCTCCTGTAGCTCAGAGGGAGTTATAGGAAACAATACAGCGTGGTGGTTTGGTAGGTTCTAGGTGTGTTTTTACGCCTGTGGAAAAGGGCTTTCGCTAAATCTTAAGCTTTTATTATTCCTGTGATAATATAAAGTAATAAGTCTGAGATAAAATAATCAAGATTCTTTCAAAGGCACAGCAGCTTTTACACTAAACCTCTGAGCTCTGTGTTTCTGTGTGCTGATTCAACAGATACTCATTCTGAATTCCACCACGAGTGCTTCTATACATATATATAATCTACATACATGACATATATTACACATCTGTTCTCTCTGCTTTTCCTGAACATTGTGCTTTTTTTGGTAAATTCCATTTGCAGGTTTTAGTCCAGCAGGTGTCATATGTTGCTCCTTCCTGTTGCTAAAACCACAGATTGAGTCGATGAGCCTGAGACTTGTCTCTGTACCTTAGTCCTCACTAGGACTAGGGTCATGGGGGGCGGAGTCTATCCCAGCTGACTCAGGGTGAAGGCAGGTTCACTTGGACAGGTAACCAGTCTATCACAGGGCTACACTTAGAGACAGACAACCAAGAGACTCATGGAGACTCCACGCAGAAAGATCCCAGGTGTCCTCACCAGGATACGACCTTCTTGCTGTGAGGCGACGGTGCTACCCACCGAGCCACCTGCAGCCCAACTTCCCTGAATTGTAATATTTAAACTGCACAGTTTGTACATGGGCCTGTGGAGGCCACGGTCCACTGGTGTGACGCGACCTCTTGATCACTGACATGATACGGATTTTGATTTTATGGAACATAACCAGAATTTGGTCAGAGGTCATGGTAGCTGTGACCTGGGCGGCAGTGGCTCAGGTGGTAGAGCGTTGTCCTCTGATTGTAAGGTTGGTGGTTCGATCCCCTCCACAGTTCAAGTGTCCTTGGACAAGGCCCTGAACCAGAAGTTGCTCCCAGTGGCAGCTCTGTCACCGTTGGTGTATGAATGTGTGTGAATGAGAAACACATGATAAAGCACTTTGGATTAAAGCACTGTATAAGTGATCATTTACCTTAAAAAATGTGTGTTTGCCGTAACTCAGATATACAAATGACTAATAATGTAGTTTTACATCCAAAAGGTCAACGGCCAGCTTCCTGTTGACATCTCAGTGTTCTCCAGAAACACTGTTCTGGCCCGATTCAGCATTCACATTTTCTTAGATCCTGAACTGGTGACAGTCATCTTGAATCTGTGGTGATTTCATAGACCCTCTGTGCTGACGGGCTGAAGGTGTGTGAAGCATCTAGAATCTGTCACTGCTTTGCAGCAACATCCATGTTTAAAGTCTCATGGTTACAGCTTTGTGTTCTGTCAGAATCGGCTTTATTGGCCCAGCAGGTCACCATATAGAAGGAATCGGACTCTGTTTTCTGTTTCCCTCAGAGAACGTCTACACTTTGAAGTGTTCACGATACTCTGAGTCTGGACAGACAGACGGAAACTGTGACTTGACGGCTGGCCGAGGCGTCTAACTGCAAGGCTGTGATTCTAGTTATGTTCAAGCCCTAAAACTGGAAAGATTTGTGGGACGTTCGTATACTGCGTGTACTACTGGTACTGTTACATATACCCATGAAAGGAAACATGCACGCATTCATGCAGTGTACATTCCAAGTCTTTTACATGTTGTCAGAGGTGGGATTGTGATGTGGCCGTGAGATAAACACGTCCCTGCTGAAGACTGGCCGCCTGCTATTAGCTGGTGTGTGTGTCTGAATGTGCATTTATTGTGTGTTTTGAGTGTGTGTCCATGTCCCTGCAAGTATAAGCAAGAGTGAATTTACACTGGTGTTTGTCCTGGCCTTGCAGGGTTCTGTGTGTGTGTGTGTGTGTGTGTGTGTGTGTGTGTGTGAGCATTTGCATGTGTGCGTACAAGTCTGTCATCCACCCAATCCCCAAACCAGCCGAGCCCCAAACGTCTCCGTCATGCTAGCAGATGGCCGCCTAATGAATCATGAGGCGACACACTAGCCTTTACTACAGAACACGGTGTAACATGACATCACAGACACGGCAGGAGTTAAATATAGGCGGCGAGCAGCAGCCAGAGTCTGACACCTGGCACTGCGTCTTTGTTGCTCACACAGTCTTTTAGGTGACATTTGTATCGTGAAGATATTAGCTTACTTCTGTTTCTGCTCGTCTGTGGTTGTTGCCTATGGAGCAGCGAGAGTTACAAAAATAAATCAGCAAGAGGATAATAAAATGAAAGTAGAAATGAAAAGAAGAATAAATAATAAATAAAATAAATAATGTGGAAATATAAAGTGGTATGAATCAAAA